TTTCCACGGACAGCTGCTGGGCCAGTTAAATTCAAGCAGTGAGGTCAGCTCAGCAGGCTTCTGACATACCAAAGGAGCTTTCATGACAGATTTTCTCAAAGGAAAAATCACGGGGGCTTACAATAAAGAAGTTTTAAGAAAACTGCATTGGTGAGAGAATGGCCAGGAAAGAAGCCCCAAATCTATATATCCCACAATGTACTTGATCATTCGTCCAGGGTAGCAAAGGCTGTCCTCTGAAAATTTGGGGAGAAAACTTACCACATTCACCCTCCGGCCTTTGTGTGGCCCCTTCACACGTCTTTCTATTCCCCAAATGCAAAGAGAAATTAAAGAGAACACATGTTGAGTCCTCGAAGACACCAAAACTGCCATTTTGTTGAAGTTTAAATTGAAGAGAGTAGATTTTTTTTGGAAAGGGTTAGAGAAATAAATGAAGCGCTGCCTAGATGAAAAATTTCAAGATACAATAGCTTCACATTTTTATATTTTTGTTTTTAATAAAGGTTACTATGATTTGTAGCAAAATGTGTTTACTTATCCTTGTATATTGGACATGTGATTGTATTCATAGTTATTTTTAGGTATATATTTTACATATATACATATATATGTAAAATTTGCTTGTCATTATCATCATTCATTCATAGTTCTAACCATTCACATACTTCCTCAACAAAGATTTACAATAACCACTATTCTGGGAACTAGGCCCATAGATGTGAGTGGATCATGATGTTCCCATAACTTGAGGAATTTATAACCTGATGGAAGAAACTTTTCCCAATATTTAGGTATAAAACTCTCACATAATTCTTACAGAAGAGCTACTTACTATTTAATTATGCCAATTATTTCAGAGGAGGAAAATGACACACGTGAGGTTAAATGACCAACAGAAGGTGTCATGGCCCTACAGCAGCAAAACCGAGACAGAATACCTGTCTGATTCTGATTCTACTGTGTCCTAGTGTACCCTACTACCACAGTCACCAGTGAAGAAAGGTGCTACTATCCAATTACAGATACTTCTTAGACATAACTGACATTCACAGGATGGGCTTTCTGGTTTAAATGATTAGAAACATATTCTCATGGGCCATATTTGCCAATTGGCACGATATAGTTCATGAAGTTATGTCCTACATCCTAGTCCAATAAGTAGTGTCTGGGAGCAGAAAAGCTTGAAAGAATCCAAGGAGAACGCCACAAACCACAGTTTCATTGACCTTGAAATCAGGAGAAGTAGAAGGTTCTCAGCTACCACCCCTAACCCATCTTAATCAGGGTCACAACAGAAAGTCTCTGATAAAATAGGGGGGAACTGTAGAACAGAACCTAACATTTCTATACCTTCTAAAATTCTATACAAAGAAAATTGAAAATAAATCTTATTTATTTCTAAATAAATAAAAATAGGCTCACTGTTCTGGTTGAGACGAAAGGACTCCCCAAAACTAATGGCTTGAGGTACTGTTTGAACCTTGAACTGAAGCCACTTTTGAAGTCACCTTGTAGCTAAATAAGTAATTGGCTCAGAAAAATTTATATCCCCTATACATACTGCGCTCCTTTTTTAAAAATCACCTGTATAAGATTAAATGGTCAACAACTATTTAAAACAAAAATATTAAGACCAGGGAGCAGGGGAACTAGGTTTATGGAATAAGAACAAGTAAATGGATAAGGATATTTCCACATTGTACAGAATGTAAGCAGTGTCGCTGAACAATTGTGTGACAATTGTTGAATGAAAACCTAAACTGCTATGTAGATCATCACTGAAAACACAATAAAATCATATTTTTAAACAAAAGAGCTATTATGGTTTCTTAAGTAGAATGCAGCCTATGACTACCTTGTCCACAGCTGCGTGCCACAGCCCAGGGAAACCACCAGCCACTCCTTGGGAGAAAGATGAGACTTTCTGATTCCAGAGAATATATTATATTTTCTGAGAATAGGTTATTTAGCTACAAGATGGCTTTAAGGGTTAATTTCAGTTCGAGATTTACCCAGCATCTCAGAGCCATGGTTTCAGGGAGTCCTTCAATCTCAGCCAGTCTTGTGAGCCTGGATTCATATTATTTATTTATTCACAGACATGTTAAGTTCTGTTCTACATTTTTCTGTTTCAACCCTTTGGATGACGCATACACTTTCCAGCACACCACAGTTCACGCCACTGCCTGTCTTCTGGTTATTAGAAGGCTCACTGCCACTCATCTTCCTCTCTGTACACGTGTGATTGTTTTCCTACGGCACTCACTTGCACTATCTGCACGGTGAATGTTAGCATTTATATTGATCCATGACTATAAAACCAAAAATACTAACTCCCAGTTAATTCTGACTTACAGCGCCCCTGTAAGGCTGGGTCGAACCGTCCATGTGGGTTTTGTAAGGCTACAAATCTTTATGGGAGTAGAATGGTTCTTCTTTCTCCCAAGGAGTGGCTGGTGGTTTTGAACTGTTGCCCTGGTGGTTAGCAGTCCAAAGTGTAGCCCAACATGCCACCAGGGCTCCCATCACACACACACACACACACACACACACACACACACACACCTATGTGTTCCAGATCTTCCATTTGCCATTGACTTGATTCCATTTCAAGAGAAGCCTATGGTGTCACGGTAGGATTATGCTCCCTGGGTTTTCAAAGCCTGACTTTTTAGAAGTAGATTGCCAAGCCTTTCCTTCGATGTGCATCCTAAAGGACTCAGACCTCCAAGGTTTGGGTTAGCCACTGAGCACTTTAACAACTGACACCACCCAGGGACTTCCAATGTTCACTTTGACATCTGCAACCCCAGTGCAAGTTCTCCTGGGTGCCATTCCTGGAAAGGGATACATCCTCACCCACTACGAAAACTTCTGGGAGTAGGCCCAGTGGTACTTTATATGTAAAACAGCCACAAGTGTCAACAAAAACAAAAACAAACAAACTTCCATCGACTTAATTATGACTCATAGTGACCCTATAGGACAGAATATAATGACCCCTTTGGGTTTCTGAGACATTAAATAGTTACCGGAATAGATAGCTTCATTTTTTCCTAAGAAGCAGTTAGGGGGTTCAAACCACTGATCTTGTGGTTAGTATCTCAGGGCATTGCCCACTAGACCAGCATAATTTTGTGATTAGAACATCATTGGTCTGGCTACTGGAAATAGACATGTCATCTGCTTCTAAATTCTGTGTGAAGACCATGGTCCTCTCTGTACTATTCTGTTTCCTTTCAATAAATTCAGCTCACCAACTCAAATGTGTGTTTCATACACTAAGCAAATGGAGGTATTAGCACTCTGTTTCCAGAAAACGCTCAAACTACTCGTCTGTTTCAAGGCTATTCACTGTGAGCTACAGATCTCAAGCCTTTTAGTCATGTGGTTCTCTACTCTAGCTCTTATACCTACAGAGACAGCTCTCCTGCTTACCGAGCCTCCTATCTTACTCATCTTACTCCTCCCGCTTGCTCTCTCAGCTTTCAACAACCAGTGGGGATTTCTGCCCTCCACACTTAGGGTGAAATGAGTTCCTTTATGCGGCCTTTTGCCTGGTTCCTAGGGGAAACAGCTTGATAGATTCCCTGTGAAGACTTGAAGTTACCTTCCATCCTGCTTTCCTACCCCCAGAAAGGTTGTTAATTTTGCCCAAATTGATTGACATTCCCTGTACTTCGGAGACTTTGGGTCCTACCCCAGACTGTGGCCTGACTCGCAATTGGCATGAATTTTGAAGGGATTGGTCAACACACTATGCAAATGAACTACCAGTAGTACCGTGCTATTGAAAGGGAGTGTCTGTGGACTACTGAGAAGGGAGGGACTGCGGAGTTCGTAACCTTGGTGGGAGGGTGATGCCTAAAAATTGACAAGGAGTTTGTATATGTGTGCAGCCAACCCCAGAGAGATTTTCCAGACAGAAGAGAGAAGAGGAGAGAAGCCTTCTAAAAGAGCTGTAACACAAGTCAAGGGCTGTAACACTGAAGAGGTTCAGAAGTGACCCTACAGCAGAGCAACCAGCAATGGGCCCAGAAGGGGCCTGGAGGTGGAGCTGGCAGTGATAGGATGGGTTGGAGTCCTGTGACAGATTCAATGGTGACAGCTGGCAGAGTGAAGAGGAGCCTGCCCTGAGACTGAGCAGGAGGGCTGAGAGGAGCCTGTCTTCAGTGGGGAGAGGAAGCCTGCTGGGCTGGGAGCTGCTGAGACAAGTATCCTGCTCTGAAGAAGGGATTCTGCCTTCTTCAACATGAGCTGTGGCCTGCTGACCTTAATCCCAACTTGTACTTTGTTACTTCTATAATCAACCAATCAACTGTAAAGACAGTCTGGGTGTGCTACGTGGAACATTGAAGCAGATTATTTAACCCAGAAGATAAAGGAGAGACTTCTAGGGGGTAAGTATGGTGGTTGCTGCTCATGTCAGAATTGGTTTTAAAAGGTTGAAGGGAAAAGGACCGTGTGACCTTTATTATATGAATCCACTTGGTAATTTATAAATTATTTTTATAAATACATAAAATTATAAATAATTTTATAAATAAACATTAATTTATAACTTATTTTTAATATAAATAAAATAATTATAAATTATCAAGGGTTCATGAGGGAGGTTGGGGAGGGGGAAAACAAGGTGATATCAAGGGCTCAAGTAGAAAAAATGTTTAGAAAATGATGATAGCAACATATGTACAAATGTGCTTGGCATAATGGATGGATGGATGGATGAATTGTGATAAGAGCTGTATAAGTCCCCGGTAAAATAAAAAAAATTTTTTAATCCACTATGGGCTGATTCTGGTGATTATACATGGCCTGAATTGAGATCGGTTCTGGTGCTACCATGCCACAACTTTAACAACACTCTACCTCTAAACCTCACTGTCAGTGGGAAGAACCACACACCTGACCTCAGCTTGGTCCTTTTGATTGATCAGCCAAGTTTGCCCGAGCCAGTCTCCTCCCACCAAGAAAAGGGATGAGAGTGGTCCTACCTTCACGGTTTACTGGTAAAGGATGAAAGTGCTTATCCAAAACCACCAGGGAACACGTGGCATCAAACCCAAGGCCTCGGATTAGGCTTAATTCGATTCCTTGTACAACTTTCTGTTGTTAAAAGCAAACAAAAACATAAATTAAAAGCAAACAAAACCATCAATTAAAACATGAACCTTTTTTAAAAATGTAAAGATATGACTAGAAGAAAATGTGACAAGAAAAATGTTCATAACATAAAACATAAAATTTTAGTGCTACTAAAATACCATATGGACCTACATAGTAATAAGAAATGGAAAAAGACAATCTAAATTAACTTCAAATTAATTCAATTTAAAGAGACAACCAACTTGTTTTAAAAAGACAACCAATCTAAATGACAATGAAGTCCAGAACATAGCGTCACATCATAAAATGGAAATTTCCTACGTCAAGGAGCACATAAAAATACTCCCCAAACAACTATAATTGAATACCTGCATATAAAATATACTGATTTTTCTCTCAAATTGGCAGTATTGTAAAAGACTAATGGTATCCAGTACTGGCAAAATATGTAGGAGTATATTTTCTTGAATATTCTTGTAAGAACCTAATTTAGTACAAATACTGGAGAATAATTTTGCTGTATCTATTCAACTTTATATGTATGGCTTTGGGCCCAGCAATCCCGCGTCTAGTAACATTTCTTCATGAAATATTAGAAAATGTAATTAAAACTGTAAGTAAAAGAATGTCAATGCAACATGGCTTGAAAATAGAGTTAAGTAATAGAAAAACGTCATTTTATGTGATAAACTATAATGTAATCTGTAAAATGAAATAGTATGCAGTCATTAAGAACAAAGAAGTAGAGAGACAACTTCTAGGTGGAGTTGTAATAGAGGCCAGCAATTCTTCTTAGGGACATAAAGGTAGGAAAACTTGTCAAAAACAACAATTAGTTCATGACTCTTGGATTTGACCAAACACATATGACAAATTAGGAAAAATTTCTTCTTGCAAAATCAGTTTTGTGCTTTAAAAGTCCCCACAAAGAACATTTCAGGCTCAGGTGACATCCCTAATGAATTATATAAAACAGTTGAGGAAGAACCAGTACTAACCCTATACAAACTCCTTCTGCATTTAGTGAGTAGAGGAATACTTTATAAAGCGGGTATACCCGAATGCCAATGCCAAACAAAGGCATAATAAGAAAACTATAGAGGAATAACCATTAAGAACACGGGTGTGTAAAACTCCTAACAAAATATTAGAAAATTAATGCTTACACCATAGCAAACATTAATTATACACAATGAACATTTGGTATCTGTCTCAAGAAAGAAACCGTCATTCAATTTCCATAAATCATTTGAGATAATCCAATTGTTACTTGAACAACATACAAACATCAAGTGATCATGTTAATAGATGCATAAAAAGAACTAAAGGCAGGAATAAAGCAACAGAAAGTAGCTTCCACAACCTGATAAAGACTATCTACAAAAAAATCTACAGCTAGCATCGTATTGAGTGGCAAACAGATGCGTTTCCCCTACAAGGAACAAAGCCGAGAGCCCTGATGGCACAGTAGTCATCGGACTGCAATCCTCAAGGTCAGTGGTGCTAACCCGCCATCTGCTCCTCAGGAGAAAGACAGTGCGTTTTCTTCCTGGTGCCTTACTGTCAGGCAGAGACCACTGTAATCTTGATTACGCTGGATCAAACAATGCTCGACACATGGATTACAAGATTACAATTAAATATAAGGAAGACCAAAATCCTCACAACTGGACCAATGGTCAACCTCATGACGAATGGAGAAAAGGTTGAAATGGACAGGGATGATGTCTTACTTGAATCCATAATCAATGCTCATGAAAGCAGCAGACAAGAGATCTATTGCATTGGGTAAATGTGCTGCACAAGACCTCTTTCGAGTATTGCAGAGGAAGGAGGTTACTTTGAGGACTAAGATGCACCTGACCCAAGCCATGGTATTTTCCATTGCATCACATGCATGTGAAAATTGGACACTGAATAAGGAAGACCAAAGAAGAACCATTGTGTTTGAATTGTGGTGCTGGCAAAGAATATTGAAAGTACCATGGGCTGCCTAATGGACAAATAAATCTGTCTTGGAAGAAATATGTCAGGGTGCCCCTTGGAAGCAAGGATGGTGCATGCATTGGACATATTGTCAGGAGAGACCAGTCCCTGAAGAAGGACATCATGTCTAGTAAAACAGAGGGGCAGTGAAAAAGAGGAAAGATCTCAAGAGGATGAATTGACACCATGGTGGCAACACTGGGCTCAAACCTAAGAATACTTGTGACGATGGCGCAGGACCACACAGTGTTTCTTTTGTGGTGCATCAGGTCACTACGGATTGGAACCAAGTCAAGGGCATCCAACAACAACAGCGACATTGTTGGGTTTTAAGACAATGTCAGGGAATAGGTTTGGTATAACTTTAAAAACAATCTCAAGTCAATATCTTCAGTCATCCAACCTCTGTGGCTCCATAATGTCTAGAGTCTATCTAAATTCTAAAATCTGTTCCCCATTTCCCCCCTTGTGATTGGGAGCTTTTCTAAAGAATCTGTGACTTAAATGTTTAGTAGTGATAGCCAAGCACCATGCAGTTCTTATCTCATAGCAAAAAGAGCAGTTGGTGGTGGAGGCAATTAGCCACACAGTCCTATGTCAGACTTTACTTCTTACTCTATGGCTAGAGGCTGATTGTTATACTTTGACAGGCAGATTTCTTACAAAGTAAGATCCACAAAAGAAAAAAAAAGATAAATTGACTTCATCAAGAATTTAAAATTCTGTTATGCAAAAGTGCCATAAGAACAGTTAAAGACATATTACATTTGGGAATAAGATTTGTATACATAATATGTGAAGAACTCTGATAATGATGAGAGGACAAATAGACCAATTATTACATAGACAGAAGAAATGAATAGGCATTTTACCAAAGAAGACATACAAATGACTAAAAGACACTAACAACATGTTCAACATTATTAGCCATAAGAAAAACACAAGTTAAAACTACTATGAGATACAATATACTCGTTAAAATAGCTATAACAAAAACTCTATCAATACTGAGAGTTGGAGAATTACGGAGAAAGTGGGACTCTTGTATATCACAAGTGAAATATTAATCACATGCAGCCAATTTGGAATGGCCTTCAATTTCTTAAACATAAGTTACCATAAAACCCAACATTTAAATTCCTAGACATCTACCCAAAAGAAATGAAAATACATATCTACACAAAAATGTACACATGATGGAAATAGAGGAAAGAGCTGGGAGGCAAAGGGTATTTATAGAGCTCTAGATAAAGACATGTACATATACAAATATATTATATGAGGATGGGGA